TTATGCTATAGGTTATGTCCATGATTTTAAATTTCATTGCATTATATTATCTTAAAACTTTGTAATTCTAATATACACTAATGCCTGTGAAAATTACAACACTGTGAAAGGAATTTTGCAAATTGAACCAAACTTGCAGGAAATGTAAAGTGAGATTGAAATGCAAATGATTTAAAGTGAATGTAATGAAAATGATTTAAAGTGAGATGCAAATGATGTAAGTGATGTAAAGTGATGATGAGTGTAATGTAAGTGATGTAATGATGAATGCAAGTGATGTAAAGTGAGATGAAAATGCAAATGATGTAAAGGGAGATGAAAATGCAAATGATTAGAATTACAAAGCGATTGCGCATGCTTGGAATGAGAACCGGCCGCTTGTTAGAAAGGACTGTACAGTTGCCTTGAAATCTGTTTATCATGCTCTGTCTGCGGTGAATGTTTAATTAGTGGTCAATATCGTCAACAATATAGCGGGTCTCGTCAACAGCGGAAGGTGCCATACCAACAACTAACAAGAGTTCTTGCAAGGCCGCATCGTTAGTATGCGAGAGGTAGGACTTTTGTATGGAGTATTTGCAGCCCGAACGCAGCGTTATTGCGCAACAGCGTTGCGTGTTTGGAAGAAATGGACAGAGAAGAACCAAACAAGGCGAAGTCCGGGCGGTTGAGGTACGCAATAGCACAAAGGCACGGGACAACAGGTACCTCATCCGCATGGCTGTGACGGATCGTACAGAGTCCTCTTGTGTGTTAGCACAACGTTGGCGCACAGCTCAGGTGTTGTGTTGTCTAGCTGCGCGGTCCATCGCCGTCTGCTGCGGCATGAACTGCGTGCAAGGATTCCTCTACGCAGGATCGCCCTGTCGTTGAATCACAGACGCCTCCGACTTCAATAGGCAGGGCGACACAGTGCGTGGCGTGCCCTGTGGTAACAAGTTGTTTTCTCTTATGCATCTCCCTACAATCTGGAGTACAGTGATGGAAGAGTACCCGCGAGACGTTACGGAGAGGAGCGACAGTATGTTATCCAGCGTCGTACCGCACAAACACCTGGCATCATTGTGTAGGGAGCTATTAAAGTATAATTGTCGTTCCTATCAGTGCAGATCGCGGGCAACCTTAACAGTAATCGCTACATAAGGAAAGTTCTGGAGCCAGAGGTCCTTCCTATCCTTTGACGCATTGCGGGCGCTGTATTTCAGCTCGTGCATATGTTTCTCAGACTGCGGAAGCCTTCTTTAGGGCACAACAGGTTTCGCTTCTTCCATGGTCTGCTTATTCCCCTCATACATCACCCATTGAGCATGTCTGAGATTTCATCGGTCGGCAATTGTCTCGTACAGCTGGTGGGGCACACTCTAAGACTGAACTTTGGCGTCAAGTCGAAGCTATATGAATGGGATTCCCCAGGGTTATATTAAGAACCTATATGATTCAATGCCGCGACGTGTATCTGTTATCGCTTAGCGTGGCGGACACACAAAGTACTGATTTCCGACTTTTGTTTTTGTCGTCTTGTAAATTTGATCGTTTATTTGTACTGTCAGTAATATGTGGAATAAATTTCATTCATTTCCGACAATTCCTTTATGCTGTTTTGCATTTCTCACAGATATTAGTGTATTAGAGTAAAAAGGCGTGATACATATTAAATTAACTATTCATTTATTTATTTTTTTTTTCAAATCGTAATGCTTCTTATGACAGTTTAGTTCAGGTATTACATAGCTTTGTATTTAAGTATTGTAAAAATTTCATGTAGTGTAGTAACATCTGCAGTATTACAAAGATGTAAGTGGAAAATATGATATTAAAGTTGAAAATAGAGTCCGTTTATACGCTGGAAATTTTATCTGTATTTTTTTCTTTTATTACCGTGAAAATAACTCATTTCTTAATACTCTATAATGAATTAATATTTCATTCCTTTTCTTTTTTTAGGTAAGTCGGAAGCTTCCATTTGTTTTGAAGTGATTGAAGTTAAAGGTAAATCTGTAATTTTTTTTGGGGGGGGGAAGTAGTAGGCATATATATAGGATTGACTTTTAGGATCAGTTTTGGGGATATTAAAATGAAAAATTTTTAAATGCTGTTTTAAAAATAATAATAAAATTGACATGTGATGTTATAGATATTAAGATTAGTATTATGCGTCATCGATGCCATGCCAGAAGCATAAAAAATGAAGATCGTGTTTCGGAGGAAAAATGTCTGAAGTTTTGTCACACGTTTGTTGTGAAAAGAAAATTCATTTATAACTTTGCACATTCATTCTCGTACATTGTCCTCATAGAAGATGCATTTGTGGCATTTACAACAGTGAAAAAAGCATGGGAAAATAATATGTGTGAAAAAAGTAAACTATACAGCTCATTATTTTGATATGATACCGAAATACATAGTCTGAAAATTTTATAATGTTTATGAGACAAAGCGAAGGACAAGGGCATTATTCATATTTCATCCTTTTTTAGTTTATAGAGAGTGGCTTATATGGAACTAGCTGCGCAAATCTTCTAGTCGTTTACTCAGAGACATCCCTGTAGAGATGTCTTCGGCATATTTAAAGACCACAGTAGATAAATAATGTGGGTTCAGCTGCAGATGCGGAGTGCATAAGTGGGCATGGCGAGGGACGTCTTCGGAAGGTCGGATCCTGTGAAGTGAAGTGATAAGTTCTTTTTATAAGAGTTATGTTGTATGGATGCTGCTGCTTCCAAAATATGTTTGTGTGAATGGCAACATCGAAAACTTATTTTTATCCAGTGCCATCGGCTATCGTGCATTACCATGATGATGTGATAATATTATCTGTTATCCCTTTTTGAAACTGTTGCCAAAAAAAACTGAAAAACTTCTTCCTAATCGATGGTCGCAAAAAAATTTTAGTCTTTATAGTTTCCTCTGTGCGGTTAATTTATTTCTTTGTATTCTGCCCATAATGATATTTTCAATAATCGTAATATTTATTGATTGTACTGTTTCAGGTAACTTTACACAGAATTTTTTTCTCATGTTTAACAATCACTTCCTTACACTGTTCAATATGTTTAAGTTAATGATTATTCGTAAACTGTGCATTTAATCTTTTCTGCCAGTATTTTACAATCTCATTTTAATTTACCAAGTGCACAATTTTCATTCTGTAATAGTCTTGCCTTTACTCATTCTAATATTTCATTCCATTTTACACACTCACATAATTTTCTTAATATTTTGGAAAGGTTCCCTGCGTACTCAGATTTTTCGTAATAATTTTTAATATCATTTATATTTGAAATCATGCTTTTAAGGTCTTTGATGTTAGTAATGTTTAGTTTGAGCATCTGTCAGTTTTAAGTGAATTTGTTTTCATATCTAACGTTACGTTTTCGAGACTAGGTTTCGAACTTCGAACAAAAATATCCCGAGTTTGACAACTGGCGTAATGGGATCTTGGAATTCTCAAGCTCTGACTGTCAGAGAAGTACTAGTGTAGGACTGGATTTCCCAATCAGAAGTCCCTCTTTTTAATTCACTCTGACTAAAAAACAAATTTCATATCTGCCATATTTAACGTGCAATATTCGTAGTATGGAAAAGACTCCGACCATTTCTTTTCTCCGTTTATTCCTTTTTCCACAATTAGACGGAATAATAAAGAGATTTAGTTGAATAGTGGACCATCTCTCTCTTTGTATTTTGGAGTCAGCAAGTCAGAGACCAAAAGCTGCTTTTGTTCCTATATTAGCATACAAGCATGTAACTCCCAAGAGCATTGGATTTTCTGCGTGATAAATGATTTTGGGGAACGATCGATATAGGTATGTAATAATGATTGCATTTCATGATGTGTTATGCTTCAGTTTAATATACATTATTGAATTTCCTCTAAAATGATCAATTATGCTTTGCACCTTACTTTATCGTCCAAAAATATTCAGTGCATTTCTTATCATTAGAGATGCTTTAAAAAAAACTCTTCCTGGTCATTGTTTCTGAAATCACTAGTGATTTGGTTATTTTAAAAGAGGCCGAAGAGTTTGCTTTATAACCTGTGAAATTTTCGAAACTTTACCAGAAAGGAAAAATGAGTACTAAATGCAAAACCTATCTTCACAAAGGGGAAGGATAAATTTATGAAACGTCAAAAGATTTCTGTAGTTAAGACAAAATTTTTTTTGTAAGTAATTCTCTAATGAGAAAAATAAATGGAAGATTCTTTTATTCTGTGTTATTTCTGGTTGTTTTTGTTTTCGCCGTAACATATTCAGAACAAACGCACGAATATTATCATGGCGAAAAGGGCAGTTTTTGTGTCTGTTGTTTGGCATGACCCATGAGCACCATACAAGTGACCGCACCTGCTCAGTTCTGTTCCGAATTTTGAAAGGAGCAGCCCAGGGGACATGAACGAATGCCCTCCCTCTTCCTCTACCACAAACCACACGAGATGTTTGGCTTGCGATATATTTGGGAGTATCTTCATTTGGAGTATCAAACTCGGCCGATCTGTATGATAAGCAGAGTCCGCTGGGTGGCCTGAAATTTTTGGTCCTGAAAGTAAATGGAGATGCAACTTTTGCTTTCTAGCCAGCATCACATTATAAGACCCATTTTCGGTGACACCATTGGCTACTGGTTAAATGCTATACCCGTTGTTTTGATGCACAATCTATGAAAAGTTATTTTCTTTATAATGAAAAGGAATTTTACAAAAAGGGGAGGAATAATAAAAGAGAGGGCCTAATAATAAGTCTAACCTAACCAAACCAATAATATATTTTAACTCATGCATAGGCAGCAATCTATAAATATATATTTTTTAATTTAGAACTCGAAAGAATATTTTATTCTTGTTAAGAAAATCTGTTTATACAGTTATTTTCTGTACACTTATCTCAATTTCTAATAAATATGTATTGTGTGCTTTCTTCCAGATATAATGTGAGTTTAGAGAATCAATTACTGTGTAGACTTTCCGAAATATGAGTCTAAATCGTGTTCTGAATAATAATTTTTCTTAATTTTATTTGCGATATATGTAAAAATAACAATGACGAATTACTTTAATGCATTCATTACATTCTTGCCACAACGTCTTGTACATTGATGTGCCTTGCATAAGATATTCGGAAATACGAAAGTAGAGACCATCGTATGTTGGTTAGCATAATTGATTCTTTCATAAAGCGACGACGAAGATGAAGGCAAGTGTTTAACATACTTTTTTTTCATCTTGGATATTTCTAGCAAGTTTTTCCTTACTAGTCGTGTTTGCTAATAGGCGTAATGGCTTTTACTGTTACGTAGGTTACTTCCAGAATTCTTTGACACACCTGACACGGTGGAAATACACCAATCATGTCAATCTTGTTTCGCTTTTTTATTTAATCAAAAACCTATTTTGCAGTCTTATAATGAACAGGGAATACATCCAATTTGTATTTTGTTTATAGACCGCTTTAGATTATTGTCAGTATTAGTTGCGCTACTTCTTGGATTTAATTTTCGTAAATGAGTCCAAAAATCCGTTCAGTTTGAGTTCCTCACTTTCAGGATAACCTTTTCTCCAGTAGCCTTCGTAGCCAAGTTTCTGCTTCTGTTCTGAGGTTGCTGCTTTATCTGTGAATGTTAAATAATCTAAAGGTAGGATCCATTCATCCGCAAGAGAAAATGATACTTTTTCTGAATCCTCCTCCTTGATTATTCCTAAAATATTATAGAGCTGTGTAACATGGATACCGTATAGTTGAATCAAACTATCCGCTTCGACATCTGCTTTAGTCAGGCATTCGATATTTCTAACATGTGCCGACTGGTCGAAGGCTATCGCAAAATATTCCGGTTCAGCTGGCCATATTTTTGTAACATCGTCATCATTTTGAAAGACCTCTTCCTGTTGTAGATTTGAGTCATTAGTTGAAACGTTTTCGAATTCTGCTTCTTGTTCAGGAATTGACTGATCGGATGAAACTTCTTCAATTTTTGTATTTTCATCTTCATCCCGTTGTACATGTGTTTCCTCGGAAGTCTGCTCGGGTATTATCGCAGCACCTGTTTTAAGATTGCCCAGAACGATTTCCTCGGGGCACAGTGCAATTTCCTCTACTCCCTTCTCTAGTTGTATTAAGTGAGAAGGCTGCTGAATATGTATATAAATATACTTAAATGGCAATTTGGCGTATGTGACGGATGGCGACTTGAAAGTTGGTAACGTGTTATTTATTTTAGTTTCTCCCACCACTGTTTTGCTAATATTATTACCAACCAGGATGCCCATTTCTCTTAGATTGTAAATGCAATCTTCAAATGTGACAATGTTATTATTAAAATGCATTTGAGTTATATTTCCTGCCGCAAAAATATTTTCGACATTTGTCTGAAATTTTGTATTTATTAGCAAGTAAGGATGACCTTTGCTGTTTCTCAGAGGCAGAATGTAAGATAAATCACTATGATGAAGAGCTTTGAACATTGAGTGGTTCGTGCTTTTTATATCGAAAATTAGAACAGTGCAGCAGTCAAGTCGAAGAGTTTCTTTAGGCGTGACAAGGTCAACAAAATCAACTAGAGATGATTCTTTATCGTACATTAAATGGGTATCGAAGTAAACTTCCAATTCTGAGTTTTGTAGCACAAAATCGAAAGCTTCTTCTGTATACGATGAATAAAATTTTGATTTACCAACATTTGAAGGTGGTTTTACAAATGTAATTTTCGAATGCGGAAAATTTTCAGTCAAGATGACGGCAAGACTAGTATATGCTTCCATATATTGACCATAAATAATAATTCTGCTGTCCCTCATATCCCTCTCTTTTTCGGCAAAACTTTTATAAACCTTCGGTTTGTCTCTTGTTTTTGCTTTACGAAGAAAATATCTCCACAACCAATTAAGTATTTTAGTAGCATCTTCCACGCAATTTACAGTGTAAACATTTGCAGTATTTTCTGATATACTATACTCATATTCCCAGAGATATTTCAACATGGGGTGTTTTTTCTGAACAATGGAATGCTCTTTTTGAAGACTAACTTTTTTAACATGCGTTGTCTGAAATTCTGTGTCTACGCAAAGAGCAAGGTAATCAAATCCTACTGAAAATTCTTTTCTGTTTGCTGTTCCAGTTGCTGTCAAACGGACTTGCTTTTGTTCTATAGCAACCAAATCTCCTCGGACTATTGTTACCCATGCTGGCAAGCACAGGCTGTCGACCACAGATTGCGTATAATCTGTTCCCAGGGGTAAAAAAGAACAACACTTTTCATCAAAACGGAATTCACTTGCTATGTTGTTTTTTGTGATAATTGTTAAATTAATAAATCTGTTACTGGAATTATATATTAAACTTTCGAGTATCCCCAATGCAATGTCTGAAGTCCCTAATACAACGATTCTTGATGAATTAATTCTTTTGTCTCGTAAGACCCATTTTGTGCTAACATAACATAAACTGTAGCAATTGTCGTTTTCATTCTTATTATTTACGTTTTCATTATTTATGGTATTTACAGTTATTGAAAGTCTAGATGAAGTTTTTTTAGATGGTCGAAGTGGTAGGAGGTGTTCTAAGATGTTACATAATGATTGCCAGAGAGATGGATTATGGGGAATCACGTGACTTGGATAAATTTTGTAGTAAAGAATGGATTTGTTACTTATTCGCATCACTTCTTTTAAGAATACATTCGACAAAAATTTGGCTATAGGATGTAAAACACAATGTAGTAATAGACCGTGTTTTCTATATTTGTGATATTTCAATTGCTCACGTTCTGCAATATCGTAGCTTCGTTTAATGATTTCCACTTTCTTTATTTCACTCACAATAGCAATTCCAAGTATTTTGTCTTCCGAAATCAAAACAATTGCATCCATCTGTGTGGTAGAAGGAATAAGAACTTTATCAAGATCTCTTGTGAGATTTTCTTTCAAGCAGCTGCATTTGATCAGATCTTCTGTTCCTTGGTAATCTGATTTTTCATATCGCCTTGTTTGATAAGGCAAATGAAATCCATTCTTGTGATATACGTAAAGTTCTTTATCATATGTACAGAAAGGACGAGCAGGAATCTGTGTGAAGTGTCGTCGAAGGTATGGAACTTGATTTGTGCCATAAGGCAAAAGGAGCATGCAGTAGTCAACTTTTGGAAAATAATTAAAAGCTGCCATGATGAGGAATAAAGACAGAGATTCGTAATCTTTCTCGATGGCAAATTGTTCTATAAATAAAGAGTTCTCGTTTTCTTTGTATACTGGAATAGTAGAAGGCAAGTAATCTTCTTTATAATGTGGTATTGGATACCTCTCATATATGTCAATGTTGAAATCCATCTCAGATTTCTTTTCCGAGTCCTCATTTTCTATGAATCCAAACGGTTCTTTAATTTTAGGTAAAGAGTAATCGTTTTGAATTCTGTATTGTCCTCTAAAAGCTATTCCTGAAATAAATCCCATATTTCTGTAATGTATTTTTTTTAAATCAATTTTTTTTTCAAGTGGCATTTCAGAGTCCTCGATATTTTCTGTTGGTATGTCTTTTTTCTTTGTTAATCTAAGAGTGTTTTCCTTTTTTCTTTTAATAAGTTGTATTTCAGAATAAGACAAAACCCTTGGTTTGCCTTTTGTTTTAGCTTGAATTTTTTTGTATGTTGCTTTTTCATAGAAATCGGATCCAATGGCGGATTTACGAAACATTTCTATTTTCTCTGGAGGCATTTTTGTTATGATGAGGGCTGATATTCTTGCAAATCCTTCATCAGCTGGGTTAAAAGTATCTGAATTAATTATTTCATCCATGCGTTCCGGAGAAATATCATATACAGCTGTGCCTAAAATTGGAACTAATAGCGTATGTGTTGTATTATTTACATCGAATGATTTTGAATTAATCAAACGCACAACAGTATCGCTGTTGAAATATTTCAAATTTCTGCTTGTTATTAGTGACGAATGATCATCATTAGAAAGATCGAAGGCTTCAGAGTTAAAAAGCAATTTTAACTTCTCCTCCGAAGATTCTTCTTTAGTTTTTGGAATCTCTGAATCTCTTGTTTCACAAATTTCATCTAGAATGTCATGCAAGCACGCTGTTATTTCTTTGGTTGATTCCTCTTCTGCAGGTGAATCCGTCGTTAATATTTTGATCACTTCTTCTTCGTCGGAACTCATTTCGAAAGCAGTGGGCACGTACTTCCGCAGCCCATAAACAGCTTCGAGTTGGAAGAGTGCATTCATCATGTCTAAGTCTGCGTGTTGGGTTGTTGCATAGATGAATCCGATTGCTTCACCATCTTCTGTATCTGCTACTGCAATGTATGTGTTATCTGCGTCATATGTGAAGTATTTATAAGTTGGACATCTGTCCTCGCCAAAATCTAAGAAATCCAGCGTGAACTGCTGTAAACTGTCGGCAGAAAATGTAGGGTACATTTGGCTGAATAAATTTCTTAGAGCTAAATAGTCCTCACATCTTTTGGACCTTATTCCTATGTATGGTATATAATCATCTCTCTTTGCGTACCAAACTTGCAGTGTGCCATTTTTCACTTGTCTTTCTTGTGTGAAATTTTCTGAAATTACGCGGTCCAGAATTGCAGAACCTTCTGCAAGAAAACAGCACCATTTCAAAGATGCATTGAAACAAAATGTCTCCTTTAACACATTCTGTAAGCATGCTTCGGGTTCTGCGTCGCACATAAACACATGAAGAAACAATGTATTTAGGCCATCGTATTTTTGAGGTTTTATAATATTCTGAAGTTGTTTTACCCATTTTGAAGATTCATACTGACCTATCGGATAGTCTGTAAACGCTGCAAATCCAATGAGATTGCCTTCGCGTCGGACTGTCAGTGACCACGGGCATATTTCGAAAACTTCTTTAATGTCTGGGATTTTAAAAGGCTTTATTATGCACTTTTCTATATTTTTCTCAATCCATGTTAAGTCTTCTTGTCGTGTTAAGCCGATTTCTAGTTTTGCCATAAATTAATTTGTATTTTTATCACTATAAAGCAAATTTATTGAAAATACTTCACACAATTTCGAATACTTTTAAAAACTTAATCTTTTTGTTGCCATTTTGTTTCGTGTTAAAATTTTAGCTCGTTCACATGTGTGCTTTTATTTGATTAAAGTAGATAGAATTATTGCGTGAAAATTGCTTTTGTCTCTATCTTTGGAACAACATATAATTTCCTGTGGAAAAAGCATGATGCCAAAATAATTTCTTCTATATATTTATTTGTACAGCTATGCTTATAATATTTTAAATTCTAATGTTGTAAGAAGTGAAACAGCAAAATATCTCTGAAATTGCCATTTTTATTTTAATTTTAAAAACATGCTTCCATTACTTTTTGGGAAAACCTGCCTAAACGTGAATGAAATTTTAATATTTTTAAAGAAAGAGTAACTGAGATTATGTTTAAAAGAATGCTTAGGGATATAAATTGAAATGAATATAAATTAAATAATAATTAATTTTGTAACTGTACTAAGCTTAGGAGAAAAAATATTTTGACGCATTTATCCATGTGGTCCTTCTTTTAGGAAACAGAGTACCCTGGGAGAAAAGGATTAAATATATCGTAAAATAAACGCACGAAAGGAAAAATTACTGTAATTTTTTTATTATTGTTTACCCTTGCTTTATTATATAAATGCACGCTCATGTAGATAAATATATCTTGAATTCTACATAGAACAGAAGTTTCTCTAATGGTTAGAGCATTGACTTTTTCTCCTGCAAGCAGATGTTCGAAGATCAACATAATAAATATGTAGTAATTTTATGTTATAGTTTCCTGTTACCAAATAAATTATCATAAAAACCCAATTAGATATGAAAGCAGTTAATGCTATTTAAATCCTTCTAGCACTGGCAATAAGATGAAATCAAGAAGATTCATTCATTTGTTTGTGTACGATAATATATATAACTTTTAATATTAATGAGATTGACTGGTGGAAATGCAAAAAGAATTTCTTGAAAAAATCGGCCATTTTTTTTAGTATTTTCGAGAGATATAAAACTGTCAATACAAAATAATTGATTAACAAAGATAACTGCTTTTGTATTGTTTGTGATGAGCTTCAGAGTTTAATTCAGTAACTAGTGAAATATGGCGGGTTCACGGACCCACTTGTACCGTGGATCGGATTGAAGTAGTCAGTCCTGGTAAAACTCCTGACGGATTTTTTTTTCGTTCGAGGCTTTTAAAGAAAGTAAAAAATATACAAATGCACCCTGTAGGCTGGCCTCTTCGTCGGGAATCACATCTGAAGCAAAGCTCTGTGTTTTGTGATTGTCTTCCAGGGCGCATCTGATTAGGGTGGAAGGATCCTTCTTGCACTGGGAATAACAGTACGCATAAGTTTTTTTATACAGGTGGGTATGACTCGTATATTAATGACAGATCTTGGAACGTTTTATCTACAGACAGGGGATATTATTTTAGGGGTAATGAGCAAGGTCTGATTTAGAATAATGGGATAATGAGCAGGGTCTTTTCTGGCAAAGCTGGCATTTGCCTTGCACCTTCACTTTCAGTAAAAATATCAAATCCTCGTATAGTGTTTAAAATATGCCAAATTTTATATAAATATGCCGTATTTTTCAATTCCAGGTTTTATAAAATAAGAAGCAGAGATAAAAATAGAGATTTCTTTTAAGGTCCATAATTTTTTTATTGTCTTTTCCAGTTTCTTTCGTCTGTTTTTCCAATTTTCGAATTTTAGGCAGATAATTCCGGTGTTGTAGTTACATGCCCTTCCTTGCCATTCACTTCATGAAAGCCTGCTTCCTTGTTTCCGGAGGTTTGTTTTCGAGAAGTGGAATGTGGGGAAAGTGGGATTCGAACTGTCGGGAAAAGCAGAACGGACATTTCTGTTGTTTTTTATCTTTGATGTATTTGAGCCGTTTTTTTGCCTGACATCTGTACGTACAGGCAGAATAAAGACCCCCCCACAAAAAAAAAAGTTCTGTAAAATGGATTTAGAATGGATTCAGTAGGGATTTTTTTTCGTGGCGTCTGTATCTACGCTAACATCTAGTTGTGCACTTCCTTCTATGTTACAGTCGGCGAGGCCAAAATATGTGTATACGTAGATTGTTATGCCTTTAGTTAATTTGCATGCAGTGGCTGGTAGAAATATCAATTTTAAAGTATAAGTTTCCTTAGGCGTAACGTGGCGTTGTTTACTTTTGAAGCTCTTAGTTATGTAGAAAATTAAGCCAGTTCTTGCACTAACTTCAGTGTCCTTTGTCCAGTGGGACCAAAAGTGAACTTTAAATTTTTAAATTTTGTGCACTAAAAATTTTGTCTTTCTGCATTTTGGCGTACAGACTGTAATTTTAATTGTAAAAAAATTTTTTAGCTGTATTTGGTGTTCCACGTTTTTCTGTATTTTACAATTTTTAATGAAGATGTTTTGAGTTATTACATAAATGAGTAAAATGAGAACTGAATTGGTTGAATGAGAAATATATCTCTCGAGGAAATAATTTTGAATGAAGTGCAGCAAAAAATATATATAATTTAAAAGGCCGTACAGAGGAGTCGTGGTATCCACACGAGATTAGGAACGAGAGTGATTTTTTAACGAGCTTTTTATTGAGTGTTGTAATATATACTAATATGCTTTTCCGAACGTTTTCTAAAGAAAACAAATTTTGGAGGTACTTCTTTCGTGTTAGTTCGAAAATTTGTTTGCAGTTTTAAATTGTTATAAAAATTTAATGTCAGAACTAATTTTTCCCCCTTGCCTTTTTCTGTTTAAAATAAATTTAACTTGGCCTCTCTTAAAGAAAGTGATTTTATAAGCGGCATGTTTTCAAAAGTAAGTTTAACGATTTTATAAAATACATGGAACTCAAGTTATTTTAAATTAATTAAATAATAAATGTTGACTTTATAACTGATTATCTTTATTAAGTCAAAATGTTCACGAAGGTTTAATTATTTCTCAGTCTAAAAATAGTAGTTTGTAGTTCATTTAGTCGTTCATGATTGAAAGGCCCCTAGCTCAACCTTTGACTGGTTGAAATGAAACATTAACTAGTTGCTGGCTTTAAGAAGGTATGTAACATCTGCAGTTACTAAATTTCACAGGTGCAGTTGTAATAACTTATGTTAGTAATAATCATTTTACCTGGTAATGGAGAAACACCACCTGCTTCCTTTAACATGTAACTATAAATTTCGCCCTGTGTTATAATTTAAATGCAGCTGATACTTGTGAAGAAGATAACGTATATACTATTTGATCTTTTTCTTCTGACAAATCCGCGCGAAAGCGCTGTGCAATTTTTTATTTTCTCATCTCCCTGTTCTTGGAAGCGAGCCAGCTATTATTTGTGATTTCGGACGCCTTTTCTCTTGGGAGTCAGCGTCCAAAATTTTTTTTTTTAATTCTTCATCCTTTTGCTTCCCAGAGCCTCGTTGGCGACGGATTTAACCGCTGCACTTTGCACAATGGTTTATTAGTAAATATTTTTCTATTATAACTAACTGAATACGTTTTGTTCCTCCTTGTTGCCATGGGATAGAAAGAAACGTCTGTTTCTGAAATTATATTTTTCCCATCGGCAGAGGATATTTGTCTGTACTCTATTCCAGTGTGGCCTTTTTTAACACCAGAAAGGCGGTAATTGTATTAAATTGTGGATTCCACTCCTAACAGTTTCTTAAATAATAAATAGATTGGTAATATATTTCTTTAATTAAATGTAAACTGTGAATATTCAGAGAAAACTGCAACTTTTAAAATTTTGTGGAGCTTACGAAATGTATTTTATCACAAACTTGTCGAAGAACTACGGTTACACTAAGTAACAGCCAAATGCTGTCGGAGTCAGGGCCCGAGATAAGATTTCATACCTGGAGCAAAATCTGTTAAAAGGCCTTTTTAATTAATTTTAAAGAAGTTAGGTATCGTGTAGAGAACAACAGAAAGTAATTCGTGAAATAACCTTATAATTTACTATTATTATTCATTTAATGTTATTTAAGCAAAAATTGCATGTCACCTGTCTCTATATTTTTTTCTTGGTTTCTGAATAATGTATGTTGTGTAGGATATATATTTTAAATTTGGGAAAGCTGGTATGAAGAGGAGAGTCTAAAGAGCTTACTGATTTTAATCACTAACATTAAGTAATCAAATTACCAGCATAAAAGCAAAATATATGACCACTTGTGTAATAATAAAAAATTAAACCTTCAAATTCACGTGATATCACCAGCTTCAAATGTAGAAACTATACAGGGATTGAATGCTAGTTAGCATAGTTTACAAACTGAGGGCGTGCTAAACGATATCAACTGACAGTGAGAGTGCAAGAAAATGGTCCACTGTCTGATTTTTGAAGAAAGGAGAAACTAAAATAATAAATTTAAAATTTTGCTTCTAGTTCCTTAATTTTGTTCCTACTGAATGTGTATTTTTCAGATCTAGAAGGAAAAATAATTTTAAAGTGTACATAGTTTGAATATTGTAGAAAGATTTGGGGGCATGGTCCGTTTGCTTTTGTGTAAATCAAGCCTGATCCTAATTAAAAACTCCCAGTAATTATTAATTTTGGAGCAGTAAATATCGCAATAAATCTATTTATAAATTTGAGCTTCTAACGATTCGTTGCATGGGAATTACCTGTAGATTAAAAAATTCGTTGTTATTGCTGTTTCGGTTATATGGTATACAGTGGCTCAAAATGATCGGTCACTTCGAATTTTTCTACTCTTTAATGAACATAAAAACTGAAAATAAATTTAAACAAAAAGAAAGGCTTTTATTTTGATTATATAGAAACTCGGCATTTTTTATAGTAAATTCATTTTCGAAAAGATGAAAATTAAATTCAAAAATCAATATTTTTTGTTAACTGAGGAAAAATATTCTCATAAAAATAATCGGATACTTTTAGTAACAGCCAAAAATGACAAAAATTATCGTAGTTTTTGCCTCTTAATATCTTGTGGGATTATCTTTATCCTT